AGTATTTTGATAGATAATTGACACAAAACTGACGTTGAATTGAAAGATAAATTATGGACAAATTACATTATAAATTTTATGATTTGTTTCACAAGTATATATAAGCGTTTATTTTTATGGGTTAATACTAATATCAACTCTTTCATGTAAACATAGGAAGTGTTTATTGTTCTAGAGGATGGTATGCTGAAAAAGAAATGGATTGAATATGTTGGTGAGCGTTGGAGAGACTTTAAGACATAACGCATACATGATTACATTACAAATCCAAAGGATAAGTTAAAGCCTCCATACGATAAGTATTCATTTGTTGATAATAATGTTCGGGAGAATTTTGTCAAGTCTCACACCACTCTCGATTTCATAGTTAAGAGCCAAAATAAAGGAGAATAGAGCCATAAATATCCATCCACATGAATTGTCTCATGGAGGATATGATAAATTTGAATAGAAAATGATTAATGAAAAAAAGAAAACATAGATAACTAGAGTTGGGAGATCCTTATATAATCCTTGATTATAACCGTTCTCCACCATCATGCCAAGAGAAATGGAAAAGGGCACGTCAAAGACCGGGAGGCGAGTTCACATCAGAGGCTATACGCAAAGTGACTGAAAATATTGTAAGTAGATACTTTTTTCAACATTACTTATTTAAGTTGATTAAACTTGGTAAAGATGAACTTTTATATGTGTTGTAGGATTTCCTGGTTGAAAAATCCAAAGATAGTATCTTTATTCCACAAGAATTTCATGACATCTTGGTAGAAGCGATTGGAACAGAGGAGCGTGGTGGGCGTGTCCATGGTCTTGGAATGGGTGTCAACTTGAGGTTATATTTTGGACCATCGCAAAAAAGTAACAAAGTGAACTGTAGGAAAGAAATTAAAGAGATAGTTGGTCAAAAGTTAGGGGAGAAAGTACAAGAAGTATTAGAATTGGAATGGGAGAAGTAGACTCAGAAGGTGATAGAGAAGTGGACTCAGGAGACTCGGGAGAAAGTAACTCAAGAGGGACGTGAGAGGGTGCATCTAGAGGAGCGGGGGAGGTTGTTGCAGGAGGTGTGGGAGAGGTTGCAGGAGAAGCAAGAGAGGTTGACCGAGGTGGAATGAGCGAAGTTAACTGAGGAAATGCCAGAAAAGTGTACCCACGTAGTGATTGAGGTAAGTATAAATTAAAAAGTTTGTGTTGTATGTTGTTGTTATTATTTGTCATTTAAATTTATGTATTATGGTGTAGTTGTTTTTATGTTGCAACAATTGTAATCAATGGGTGTACTTATCCATCCAAATTCAGATCAGTTAGACATACTTGAGAAAGTAGATGAGAAACTTGTTATGGATGGTTCAAGCACGAAAGGTAGTCGTTCTATCATTCAGAACAATATTGACACCACACTACCTTAACAAGATAACATGCAACGACTATCAAGAGTGATATAGGAGATGCCAGACATCTATGATTTACATTAAAACATGAACTGAAAAATGTTTATATACTTCATAAGAGTTATGTTTTGGAATTTTTGAAGAAAGATGATTGGTTGGACATAATCATACTACACTTGTGGTGCTCGTAAGCACAACTTTTACGCTGACTTCAATTTATATTCATTGTTCTCATACATTAACATCAAGATTTGACTTTTGCATTATTTTTTAGGTCCATGCATGAGATGTATGTTGAAAGAAAATTAAGAAAGTATTGTTTTTTAGACCCATTGAATATTCAATTTCAACAAAAAGGAGCAAACACTATCTAGATGTACATAAAAAATAAGTTTATTGATGATAGCAAAGAATGTTACATGGGACCGTTTTAGAATGCGTAATTATATATTTATTTGTGTTTTCTTTTAAAAATCAATTTTATTCACATTATTAATCATTTTAAATGTTTATGCAGTTCACGTTGGCAACTAGTTATTATATGTTCGAAGAAAAATGTCGTAATTATGTTATGATTGTTACACTCTAAAATTCTGGCAAGCAAATCACATATGTCTAAAGAGATGTCGAGACATTGATCTCTGCTAAAAAGTGAACAAGGACAGAAACAAGCACATTCAAAAAACTTTAAATATATAACAGTGTCATGACAGATGTTTCTACATTTGTTAAGACATGTCTTTTAGAACACAAGAGCAGACTGAATTTAACATAACAAAGAGATAAAAAGTACAAAGATATGATGACCCAGTTCGGTGAACAACAACACCTATATCTGGGGGCTACCAAGCCAGAAATGACATCACTATTAGTAGTATTAATTTAGAGCTAAACTCCTCGGTTTACAACTCCTCACTTAATCCCTACCCAGTACAATTCTATCTAGAAATCACCATTTAGACAAGAGAAACTCATCCCAATTCTTAAATCACCTCAGTGGTATCTAACAGTCACAACCTCCGGTGATTGTATCAAAATGTTCAATTGAGAAACACCCCTCTCAATACAATATTCAGTTAAAACTCTTGACTAATAATAATACTTGAATTTGCTTAAAAGCTTCATCCAAAAACAATACTCAACTCTTGCTTCAAAGCTTCGAGTGAGAATAATATACAACCTAAATATATCTACCACGATACATCAAAAGATACAAAGGGTGACTTACAAAGTCACACACAAGAGACTCTCAAAATCCTAAACCCTTATGTTGCACCCACGGGTTTTTTATTGTGAATGTTTTCTCTTTCATGTCTAGTAAGTCCTTATTTATAGACTCTTAAAGTATGAGTTTGAACTCTTCAATCAGATCCAATCTTCACATTGTAAATCTTCTGCAGAATCTTCTCCATAAAAATAGAAACAAATCTTTTACAGTTTCCTAAAAAGTCTCAAAGATCTTTTTTATGAAATCCAATTAAATCCGCACTTTGTTCCTAATAAATTTCCTTAACATGCGCATAATGATGAGGTAAATCCAAAAGAATCTCATCAAATTAAAACAAATCTGTCAAGAGATATAAAACAGTAGCGTCTGTTGTACTAAACCAAGATGTCATGACATATGTCTTGGACATCTGTCTGAAACACATTATAGTAGTACTGTCATGACATTTGATGAAGATGTTATAACATCTTGCTCAACATCAGTGTAGAATCATGTTTTATCAAAATTTAGCCAATCATAGAACCATGGAACTAACATACTATAATCTTGATGAAACGATGCTTGACGTTTTGAGCGGGTAAGTGGTATTATTTATAATACTCAAATTTTACCTTTAGTTTTTAATCATTTTTATTCATGTTTAATTTTTATCGACGTGTAAAGTTATTGAGGGATACAATTTTGTGAAACATAATATAAAATATAGGAAGTCAAGGTTCATTTTCCCAAAAGTAAGTATAAATTGTGTTTTTTTACATTCTTTTATTTTCGTTAATGCATTACTTATGCTTTGTGTGTATTAGTAACTATATGTAAATTATTTGTAGCCGCGAAAATAGTCTGACAACTATTCGTGTGGATACTATGTTATGAAACATATGTTTGATATTGTCTTCTGGGGCATTAGTAATTTATGGTTAAGTTATGAAACACATTTCCAAAAGAAGATATATATGAGATCTGATCACGTTGGACCAGTTGCTTTCTATCTACTTATAAATCTCAACAACACTAGTTTTTCTTGGTTGTTGTAAACATTGTGTATAAGTTTTATGCCACACATGTATTTGGTTTTGTATTGCGTTTTCAAATATGTACAGGTTCTATTAGTGTACCATTTTGGATATGTACAATTGATTTTGTAAACAATATATGTATATTCATTTATGTCTAGTTATAAAATATAGTATTCTGTCACAAAATGTTATGTTCTGATTCTGATTGTGTGTAAAAAAAATTACAAGTCAATCAAATTGAGATTTAAAATAAAATATACATGACAAAAATTAGGTTTCACCTTCAATTTTAATTTTAAACTGACATAAATAGTTTTTTTTTCTCGGTTATTAACAGAAGCCGAGAGGTATGTGACGCGCGCTTTATAGTTTTGAAAATTAGAAGAAAAAAAATATTGTCGTTCGGGATTTAACCAATTATCATTACACTTTATTTCTTGGTGGAATGAAAACTAAGGGGTAAAGTGACAAGTTTTTATGACATCATTTGATCCCTCACATGAGAAATCAAGATAAAATCAGTTTTTCAACTGAGATGAAATATATTTTTTGTAGTAGTGTTTGGCCAAAATCAGGATAAAAACCATATGAATATACTAGTTTTGATGAGGTAAAATAAATATCCACAATATTATTGGGTTGGTTCGCATAAAATTATAAATTTATGGATTGGATTGGTTAATAAATTACCTTCTTTTTTTTTTATAATTATAAATGATGTGTCATATTTTAAAAAAAAAATAATATTTGTATCATTTTATTTTTTTATAAATAATTTAACCGATTACCATTATTCTTTTAGCATCAAATATTTAAATATACAATAAAATTCGTTATTAAAATTCTTAAAAAAATCAAATTTTCATTATGATAGTATATCTAAATATTTTGAAGTACTTACAACTTCCAAACATCACTATCAAAATAGTTAAGTGCAATATCCTCCTAAATAAGTTAAAATCATGACACAAACAACAAAAATAACAAAGGTCAAAGAACATAAAAGTGAAGCAAACATATCTAATCACATTCATCCCTCATAACAAATGTGAAGTCACACTTTCAATCATATCTAGATTGAAACTTTTCAAAATCTGCATTGAAATATAAATCATTCACCTTAATTCAACTATGCTTCATTCAAATATAAAGCTCAAGTTCTCATCACTATATTAGTACACAAACAATACAAATTTAATGAAGATTCATGTGCCTTTTCTCATTGCCCCTTTTCATGGCAACTGCTAAGCAAGCAGATAATCATCATATATATATATATCCCCTTACAAACAAAATAAGAAATACAAAAACACAATTAACCAAACAATTTACATAAGTACTCCATTTCAATTATCTAGCCCAAAATTTTCATGAGGCTTTTAAGTAAAGAACATCATCCCCATCATCATAATGGAACTTCTTGAAAAAACAAATTTCACCATTGTTCAAGTGAGCAACATGCGCAGCCATACATAACATAGCATGCACATAACCATCTCTTAACTTTTTCCACATATTTGTTGATAATCTGAAGATCTTTGGTTGAACATCTAATATCATTTCAGCAATTTTCAATTTTTTTGAAGCTAACATATCAACATTCTTATTAGTAAAATTACTACTAACCTCTTTGTTGCTCTTGAGCTTATGATAGGCCCTTCTCCTTGTGTACCTCATGCTTCCACACTTGGGAATGAAATTAACTATCTCCATTTTGTGTTGTGAGTTTGTGAGACAGAAATAATGGGAAAAATGCAAAGGAGTTGCTAACTAATGCTATGTCGATATATAATATAGCTGTCGCACAACTTCCCAATAAATGGTTCTAACAACCCCACCAACTTAAATTTATCACAGCTTTGAGACCCTTTTAATTTGTTTGGTACATATACTTAAATATGTGAATTAATAAAAATATATTATTATTTTATTTGTATAATGGTAAACGGTAGACTTAAATAAACATTTTGAAATAAGGTGACTCAGTTATTAAAAATTTAACATAAAATATTATAATACTTAAATTATTGATAAAATTATTAAGCCATAACAACAAAAATTATATATATATATATATATATATATATATATATATATATATATATATATATATATATATATATATATATATATATATATATATATATATATATATATATATATATATATATATATATATATATATATATATATATATATATATATATATATATATATATAGGTTTTACTTTGATCTCGTATGTAATAAATATTATTGTTTGATCTTTTAAAAACTATTTTGTTAGTTAATTTAATAGCTTCAGTTGAATTTTGTCTAACAACATTAATTTGTGCTTATGTGACTGTCTAATTTATAAAATAGTACATAATGAATCAGCAAGCTCATTTTAAAAAAATAAAATTGATTAAAAAAATCATCTTATTCGTCTTCATCTTTTCCTTTATATACTAAGCTCATTATAAGCCAAACTCTTTTATGTTGAATAATGAAAAATTAATATGAAGTAGTCGTTTTTGCTAAATGGTATGCTGTTAGTGGGCATGGTAGCGGGGCGGGGGCGGCTTTAAGCAGACTCGCCTCGTAAACTCAGGCCCGCCCCTATATCCCATGCATAAACCCGTCTTCGCCCTCAAATTCGATCAGGGCTAATAATTGGTCTCCGCCCCACCCTTGCCATGCATAAATTGTATTTTTTTAAAATTATATTTTTTTAAATGTATCTTTTCGATAACAATAAAAAACAATAATTTAACTAAGTAATTAATTATTGACATTTTTATTTAATTAGTATTTTCAAAAAAAAAAAAGTAATAATTCTAATAAACATGATATTGTAAGATTAAGAAGTGTAAATGAGTCATGAGATTATTAAAATAAAGGAAATAAATTAAATTTAATAGGCAGGTGCGAGGGCGGGATGGGTGTGGGCAGGTAACAACATCCCCCGCACCCATAAATAAAAATTGAGTTTTTTTTTGCATTTGTATCCACCCCCAATTATATCGAATTTTTTCTGTTAATTTCAAAGCAGGAGCGGCCGGACGGGGACGGATTTATTTTGCCATGGCTAATTGTTAGTGCTTTATTTTATCATACATTATACTATCTTAAATGTGCTTTTTTGAATGATCAACTTAGAAAAAGATACAAGTTTGTCGTTGTGAGACATCCAGAAACAAGTGAATCTCATGATATATATGATTGAAAATAGTATGATAGATGTATTCACTAGATTAGCTACTTTAGACATAAAGAGTTACAATCATAAAAGACATTCAGAATGAAATCAGACATGCATTAAGTTAAAAGTTTATATTTATCCAATTACTTTCAGCATCCTTATTTATAAGTAAAGTTATTCAATTTCATATTGCTCGACCTCATTATGAGTGTGATTGAATTTTGCTTATGATATCTTTTTGATCTCGATTGGTTTTAGGGAGGGTATGTTAACTAGATAGGAGTCTGCAGATTCTTACTAGGGTTTAGAAAAGTTGGGTGCTTTTCAAAGTTGTGTTCTCTTGACAATTACTTTAGGATAGGTTAACGACTAGACAATTTTTTTTGAGATTATGCAGAATTTTCTAAGCACTACTACAAATAATACATTTTATGACAACAATTTCACCTCACCTAATAAAAAGTTGAGGTATAAATTATGGACGTGCCATATTTTTTTTATTTCTAAAAAATACAATTTATTCCATCAGTTTCTATATATAACTGAGGGGTAAAATAATTCACGGAACATGCTTAAAACCCAACAAGTACATATTATGTTTTTATTTCATTAAAACTCGTGACTTCCTTCATTTTTTTTATTCCAAAAATAATCTACATTTCACCTCGGTTATGTCTCCCAACTGAGGGAAAATAATTTACTCTTATTATATATATCTTAGCTTGTAGTTTCCAGTTCCACCTGCCAAAAACAACACACCCACTGCTACAAATAAAAGATTTAACAAAGGTTGTAAAAGAGATATAACCACGGTTGAAAGTACGTGGAAAAGATGTGTGTGGTTGTAAGTGGGCTACTTACAACCATGGTCTATTGGTTGTGGTAATAAGATGGCAAACATCCTACATATAATCACAATTGTAATTAACAACCGTAATGAAATGATTAAAGGTCTTAGGTTCGATACCCAACAGCGCTATTTTTTAGGGTTTTTTAATCAGAATAGCATGCATACTTATAACCACGTTTGAAACACCCGACCGTGGTTATATGATTTGATTTTCTTTAATATAATTTTTAAATTTTACAGAATTGCCAAATTTTTAACTTGTATGTTTTTTAATCGTAAATAGAGTAGAAACAGAAACACAGACCAATTTTGAATCACAAACATATAGTTGACAACTAAAATGAACTAAATATTGCATTACATCAAAACCAAAAATTGTATTAATAACCAAAAATTGTGTTAATAACCAAAAATTATATGTTACATCAATACCAAAATGGTACAAAACAACATACAATTCACCTATCATTACATCAAATAATATATACAACATGAGAAATATTTAACTTGTATGATCATTATGAATAGCATCTACATCATCTATATCAACTTCTTCATATGAAGTAGACACTTTTGTTGCGTAAGGAGTCAAAGGAATATCAAAACTTAAATTATGATTTTCATCACTATGAGAAATGTGTTTTCCTTGGAGAACAATTGACCATCTTTTGTCAGAAGGGTCGGTCACATAAAATACTTATTTTTCTTGGGTAGTCATATAATTTGTCTTGCCTTGGTCAACCCGTGTGAATCTTAACTCATCAGATTGTACACCAATATTATTGCCAACCCACTTGCATTTAAATAGAGGTACTTTGAACAAAATATAATCAATCTCCTCAATGACCCCAAAATATGTCTAGATGCTAATATAAGATTATTATCTTTAAAAATATATAAATAAACGGGTTCGATCTTAACTATAACTCCACTATTTTTTATTGTACTATGTTCATCTTTTAATTTTGTATAAAAGGTAAAAATTGCTAATTCCGTATGCAGCCCAAGTTACTACGTTAAATTTTAGAAAGTATGACAACCATTTAATGTGTCTCATATGGACTGTCATCATTAGAAATCTTTTTATTAAACTAACTTATGAAATTCTTGCTATGGTCTTTCAACAACCACTTATCACTCATTTGGGGATATTTTTCCTTGATAAATCTTTTGTGAGTATATAAGTAAGGTTCAACTATGAAAGTCTGTGACGTTGAACCCGCATAGGATGCCGTACCACGTCTGCGAGTTAAGTACATACCTGTGAGGGGTAGGTAGGGCTGTTTGCAGGAAACCTTTGACCTCAGAGTACCTGGTTTATCTCTGTCAGTGAGATGTGGTTACAGGGTTCATTTGAGTGGTTGGTTTGAGATGAAGATTTGATAGTTCTCAGGATTCAGCACAAAGCAGCACAGTTCATCAGCATTGCACTTGGTCCTTTGTTTGCATATTGCATTGTTGCATACTCATCTTTCATATCATTAACGTGTATTTATGTTGCAGGTGTGATCATTCCCCTCTGATTCTAGTGTATTTTCTAGCCAGGCATGGAGTTCCTGAAGAGGACAGTTGCTTACCGGTTGCATTCGCCAGATATCAGTTCTTTGCTGGGTTTAGTTGCTCTGGCAGATTGAGAGAGATTGAAGAGATTGAGTTTGGAGTTTTCATCTTGCAAATCCAAATCGGTTACACAAATTGGAGAGGTTTCAATCCAATTTTTTGCATTCAGAAGTTTCCTCTTGAGTTGGTGAGTGATTCCAGATAGAACTCTAGCCAAGAACACTGAGGAATCGTGAGATAGCACTTTGAATTCATCTCTTGCAAGTCAGAATCGAGTTTGGTGATTCAAGAAGATTAAGTCCAAATTGATGCATACAGAAGCTTGGTAATTGATCATAGAAGGTATCTGGAAGATCTTGGAGCTTGATTTGAAGATTTGCTTGCTTTGTTCATCCAAGATTTACAGGTATGTAAACTTCATTCTATGGCTTGATTCATGTAGAATTGCTAGGTTTTAAATGGTTAGATTCATAATAGATGATGGCTAGGACGTTTTTGGATTGGTTTGGAGTTGATTGGTGACAATTAAGATGGATGATCAATTTCTGTTTGAGCTTGGTTCTTGCGATTCTTGGAGGATTAGTGGTGTTTAGATGATGGTAATTGATCAGTGTAACATGTAGTTAATGTTAGTACCTTTAATTTTGAGATTGGTGACCATCAAGACTTGGTGATTTCTCTGCAACTTTGATCGGGTTTGGCTTTGGAGGGTGAATCAATGATTTTGGAGGTCGTATTCATGATCAGGGTGAAAAATTAGGTGGGATAGGGTATTTGGTTGCAAAGATTGGTGAGGTTTTGAAGTTGTCTCTCCGGAGAAGACGGTGTTTTCCACCGTGGACCACCGCCTGAGAATAGTTTCAGGCCACCTGAGATTGTTGGAGAAGATGAACGAGAGACCATTGGATTAGTCTGAGAGGAGACTTTGTATGCTGATCCAAGGGCCACGATTCAAACTGAGAATTGCCTCCAAGCCATTGAAACGCTGTGTTTCATTTATCCAGTCAGCTGGTGACTGGACTCACACGTGGACGCGCTCATGACTCTCAGATGCGCTTACTAGTCTCTCCATCCAATGGCTCTCAGATCCGCCTGTTGCACCCTAAAATTTGCTCAACCTA